ACCCAGCAACTGTGCTAAGGAAGTTACTCTCATTGCGCGGTTATAGCTCTCCAGGAGCCAACAGCATCCACCCGAAACCACTGAAGGCTGCGACCACTAATCTAGCGGAATGCCTGTCACAGTTCAAAGATGCTTCAATTACCTGCAAGTCCACACTATGTGGAAGCGTGGCATTATCACCCCAATTTTTAAAGACGGTAACCATTCAGACCCTGCAAACCATCGCCCAGTGACTCTTCTCCCTTTGCTCACAAAGGTGATGCTGGTGGGCGTCGCGGCCGCTCTAGTGGACTACCTGGGAAATGCAATCTCTTGTCACCGGAGCAACGTGACTGCCGTCAACACCGGTCTTACACCACCAACTTGTTGATGGCACGAGGTAGTTGGACGGAAGTAATTGATGGTGGGTTCGGACTTGACGTCATCCATCTGGACTTCTCCCATGCTTTCGATCGCCTGGATCACTGCATGCTACTTCACAGGCTACAGAGCTATAGAATCGGATATCTTGTTCTTAATTGGATTGCAAACTTTTCAACAACGGAGGCTTCAAGTGCAAGTTAGGGGATTGCTGTCCAACCCGATGGAAGTGGAATGGTGTTCCACAGTGCTAGGTGTTTATCAACGACCTGACAAGAGTTTTCTCATCAGATTTCCTGCTTTTCGCCGATGATGTTAAAGTCTGGCGAGCGATTAATAGCAATGAAGATCACGATTCTCTCCAATGTTACCTGGATTGTCTTCATGAATGACCAACGAGAAACCTACTTCAGTTCAACACAGCTAAGTACAAGGGGATCCATCTGCGTCCTCAGCCGATGAGCGTGTGCAAACTTGGAGACTACACCCTGCAAAAGACTTCTCAGGAGCGCGACTTGTGTGTACTCGTACAGGACGATCTCGGATGCTCGAAACAAACATAGAAGGCACCGAGAACCGGTAATCAACACTTTGACCCTCTTCGCATTGCGTTCGTTCGGTTTGACCCCTCAGTCTTCTCACAATTGCTTACCGCTTAAGTGCGATCCCAAGCGTGGCACCCGTGGCAGGAAGAGGATCTCCTTGCTCTCGGGACTACTCAACGAAGGGCAACCAAGCATGTGAGGAGTCTCTTCCATCTACTTTACCAACGTAGATTAAAGTCTCTAGAAATGTACAGCAATCGATCTCGGCGTTTGCGGGGGACCTCATAACGGTTTACCAGATCCTGAAGAACCCAAACCATGTTTGCCGCCCTCTGCTAGAACTGAATCACAACACTAACTTTGAAACTAACAATACGGTAAAGCTGGCCAGAACGCCGTCGAAATTTCTTCTACCTCCTAATTTGTCAGGCATGGAACACTCTCCCAATATATGTCGTCACTACCCACAATCAAACGATATTTAAAAATGGATCGACCAAGCGTTATCCCATTGGCCTTTCAATTCATAACTTGTGTTTGTCAATGGGCTGCATAACGCAACCAAACGTTGTGTTCAAATTTCTAACCAGTGGATTTATGGTTTTATATTTTTATCACGTGAACATCCCGGCTCTTTTACGCATGTCTATGGTGACTCCACCGAAACAACTTACATTTTATCATGAATTTTTGTTTTATCAGTAATCTTCACCTCACTGGCCTTGTTAAGCATTGCTTTTTTCAACCGTAATACACCATTGTTCCATAATAACAGTGATGATAAGTTCATCGTATGCGTCGCGGTTATAGGCGATTCCTTCAAAGCAGATCTCTACTATCTTTCTGTCACTTCCGGAAGGGTTGGGGAGGACGCGTTTACTTTTAAACTATATGATTGTTGTACAAAAGAGGTTTTCATTGTACACGTTAGAAGTAGATAAAAAAAACATCTCAGTTATTTTGCTGCAATACAAAGGAAAACAGAACAGAGGCAGCTGGCTGAGTCACCAGTAACGGGTGGACATCGTTCCGGTGAGCTAACAGCCTGTTATTGTGCCGCAAAAAGGATCATTATATTATGCATGTGAATTGAGATTATGGTTGGAGGGGGAGGCTAAGCAGGAGGGTGAGGGACAAAGAATCTCACAACACGAACGCCACTGATGTCGGCTCCTAGTCATCTCAACAAGTGTATCCTGCCAAACGTGTTCTTCGGTCCCCAATCAGGAAGCCGAGACACTCCAACCGATGCCACATTCGAACTAAGGATCTTCATTCCTCCTGGCCAACTTATCGCTTGGCCACCGCTCCTCTCCTTCCATCCACAACCCCGGCGCCCAAACAACGCAGCGCGGGAGTCGGTGGGTTGGCATGTGCAACACGTGGCCCAACCATAGGAGCCAGCTGCGTGAAATAACAGTACTGAGCGGTTCGCTTCTTCTTCCTGAGGCATAAACAAGGCGTCGAACACGCTCATTTCTCACACGATGTTACCACCAGATATGAGCTAAATTGCGAAAGCACCGGTGGTCGAACGTAACTAGCCTCTTTAGGTCTTCCGATTTAATGGGCCAGGTTTCACAACCGTATAACAGGGTTAAATGTACGGCTGCATGGTACGCTCTACCCATCAAGGAGAGAGTGATTTCGCGCCGGCGCCATAGATGGCGGTTAGCAAAAGCGCCTCGTGCTTTTGCTATCCAGTTTGTAACCTCGTCTTGAATTCCAGCGGTGCTGATACAACTATCTAGGTAGTTGAACTTTTGAACGACTTCTGGCTGATCCTCATCAATGGTCAGCGCAGGAGGCGGTCCCTGCCATTCTTGGTGGACAGCTTTACACTTCGAGGGTGCAAAGCATAGCTCGAAACGGTTGACAGCCAGTGCTAATCTGCCCAGTGCCGCTTGGCATGTTTGTGAACTGTCACAGATGAGGGAAATCTCGTCAGCATACTTCAACTCAAGAAGTCGTTCACCTGGGAACCGTTCCACACCTTTTAGGTCATGTCATGTGAACGCGACCTTCATCACTTCATCACGAGCGAACTTAAAGAGGAAAAGTGACAGTGGACATTCTTGTCTTACACCGCTATAGATATTGACGGAGGGCGGCAGCTGGTCGTAAGCCCTCACTCTGCCTGAGCTACGCGCGTAAACCGCTCGGATAATATTTACATATTTCTCGGGCACACCTTTCTTTAACAGACGGTTCCAAAGGGCACATCGATCCACCGAATCGAAGGCACCTTTGATGTCTTGGAACGCGACTACGGTTGGCCGCCAATATATGTGGCAGTGCTCCAACAACTGACACAAGGTGAATTTGTGAACGATACATCCCCGACCTCGACGAAACCCTGGCTTGTTCCGCACGAAGCTGGCTTTCACGAGTGCCAGTCAATGAAGGATTACGGAAGCAAGTAATCTGGTTTAGCAAATGTTCGCGTCTTGTTAGAGATGAAATTTAATCCAATTAAATGCGCAGGTTTTAGTGGGTTGTATGCTGGACACCAGGAAATCTCAGGCATAATACATGAGTTACAGGCTACTCAGTAACATATAGCGAGACCTGCGCGATGATCGATGTCCGATTTGCGACATTGCGGTGGGTTATGCACACAACCAAAAAAAGGCATCAGCAGTACGTTGGTACGCAGTACCGACGCTTCACTACCGCGCAACCACCACCGGTGGCACGTAAACTAAGGTTATTGCGAGGGCGCCTGGTCCCTACGCAAGGTCGAACCCACGTTCTCAGATTACAAGACAGACTTACACTTTATTTCAGTGTTAATCTAACCAGACTGATCAGTGCCATTCATAACTGGGTCAACCAACGGAAATTGCGCCCGTCATGGGACTAGGGCTGAAGTTTCGGAAGTTCAGGATTTTGAGGTGAGTATCTGGAGTATGTTCTTTTCCCGAAGTCTGAAGGACAAGAAGGATATCGGAACAGGAGTGAAACAGTGAGATCGTGGGACGTGCATTTTGCTTTTCGGGGACCAAGCACTTAGCAAAACTAATCCGGCAAATCCATGTTGTGTCGGTAGATTTACTGACTGTATATGGTTGTTCAAAGCACTACCCATGTAGTAGCGAAACTTGAGTGAGTTCCGTCAGAGTACACGTTGCTGGGTCGAGATATGTTTGGGCTAAGTTGATAATCTGTTGGAAGAACTGTAAGACTTGCTGACTCATTGGAGCTGGCGGCCATGTGATTGATGATAAATCTATAAACGGAACTTGGAACGAATGAGCGCCTGTACCAGTTATATGGCACTTTTTCTGGTACCATCATCTACGAACTTTTGTCTACTGCACCATCGGACAGGAGTGCAATAATTGACTTGCCATGCTGTAGTTCAGATCGTCTCATACCTACTTGCATGTGCTTTTACCTCTCGCATCTGATCAGTGGTTTTCTTCTTGATACTGGATCAACCTAACTGGCCTAATCCTGTCCCATTTACTTGAATTCATTCCTAACTTTCTCATCAGCCAGTGCAAGCGTTGGTGCACGCCGTTCACTGTAACGCATCTGTTTAGTGGCTACTCCGAATTTTTCCCACTGTATGTGGCTTGTCGTCACAGTGTCCTCAGTTGCTTGCATGCTTCCTGCCATGTTGTCTGTCTGTAACCTTAGCAAGATTTATATCTGGGGGTTAACTGTAACATTGATGTGTCGTTTCTCTCTATCATTGTATTGGTCGTTGTACACGAGGGGCATTATGTCGAGAATCAGTCTGCACTGTTAGTACAATAAGTGCAATTGTACATGGGTCAACCAAACCCTTGCTTTCATAACCAGATCAATCATCATTCCTAACTCTTGTTGCGGAGATGTGGCAATGTTTCGTGTCTTCCTAGCTGACTCGAAGTGGTAGACCTTTTTAAATGAGAAACGGAGGGTATCACGTTTGCTTACTTAACCATGGCACGACTTCTGCCGTTTTTCTATACGGTCTCTGCATAGATTGCTGCATTAGGGGTTCTCACGCATCGTCGGTCCGCTGTCGACCATTGTGTATTCGTTTGGAGTTTAACATCACATAAATTCACGAAGTTTCCCACTTTTTCCATCCGCGTTTTTCTCCAGGCCGCACTGGCGAAGTTCCTATTGGCTGTCCGTTGGGAGTATCCTGAGCAAGTTGATCAGGCTGTCGCATTATTACTCCAGTGGCCGAGCGTTGCACCGGAGCATGTTCTTGAACTGTTGAATCGTCACTTTATTCATCCAGCTGTGCGCCGTTTTGCCGTGGCTCGATTAGACGCGTCCAAAAATGCCGTAGGTTGTCCTCTGTTTTCTGCTATTGATGACACAAATGCAGTATGTACTGGCGCTGTTTGAGTTTTTTCATTCGATTATTATTTGGCTTCCAGGTTGCTTTTATTTCTCACAATTTCCCAAGCAACAACCAACTTTCACTGAGACATTTTGGTAACCATACTGTCGGTTTTCTCAAGACATTTATCCCATATTTTTCAGGAAATTCTGCTGTATCTGTACCAGTTGGTGCAGGCATTGCATTATGAGAATTGGCATGACATATTCTCCGTTGGTGTGAAACATATTGTTGTTCCTGGGGAACCACTTGAATTATCTAATGAACTGGAATACCCACATCAAGTGCAGACACCTACAGAAACTCCGTCTGCTCAACGACTGATCTCCTTCACTGAGCCAATACTGGATGATATGGTTCAGAATACGGAGGCGTCGTCCTGCCCGGATCCACCGCTACCGCCGCAGCCGCCAGCATCACAGCTCACAATCGATGGCGGTGGTAGATGCATCGAAGCACTGAAAAATGTATGGAAGGTGCGTGGTGCTTCCGTTCCACGGTTGAAATTCTATTCAACCTTATCCACTGTTGGCATTTCCTATGCGTTGACTTTCTGATAATGCAGTGCTGTTGATTGAAATCTTGTGGTTCATTTCCCCTTGTCTACTTGGATTTTTCGACTCTCCAGTATGTATAAGTGAACTCAGCGGTTATCTAAGGTCGATTTTTTGTAGACAAGAACCTACCCCAAACAATGAACGCATATCCTACTGGTTCTACCAACCAACAGCGTCGTCCTAACATTGTTAATCTAGTGGAAAAATCATGAACTTACTTTTATTCGCCTTGCGAATTCTTTCATGACAGACGCAAGCAGTTACCTAGGCTCATGTTTTCGGGTCCGTTTGGCTCTTCCCTGTCGGGGTTGCAGTGTTGAAAATGCTGGATTTGTGGACTCATCCCAAAGAGTAGGACCTATATTGTTGCGTTTTCGGTCTTTACGTATAGCACCTATCGGAATACCCTGCCATCCTTCTAGCTCCACGAGTGGCCTGTGACGGCGCTAGATGTAATAAAAGCTATTTATTTCACGTTAAGCACCAGTTTGCGGTACCTTCGATGGTGTTATAATTCATATTTCTCTGTAGAACCCATTATTTCTGAGTAGATTTGAGCCGCTAGCATCTAACTGAAAGGTCCGACTTATTCCCAAAATCTATGAAAGTCACTCCCACTTCCGGCCTACTTCCCGGTTGACTGATGTGGCTTTAGCTAATATATGATGTGCAACATTCGTCCCCTAATTTGCTTATGGTTGTGGCCGTAGGTTGTCCCATGTTACCTGTGTATGCATACAGCCGTCATGGATGGTTTGCACTGCCCCGCTAACATCCCCTACATCTGGCATTGGCTCAAACGAGCGGAACCGGACAGCATATAGGTTGCTATCGGACCAGCTTTCTCAATGAACGTATCAACATAGGTTGGCAAATTCACCTGGCGGTGATCTACAGTCAGAACGACCCTCTTAGATTGTGAATGCAGCGTGTACCACAGGGACTTCCCCGCTCTACTTAAGCGTTCGATTATTGCTAAATTGGTGACACCCATCAATTAATCAATCTTTTCACATTTGGGTGGGAAAACACGTATGATAGACGTGCACAGAATGGTGGCTGGGTCATAGATGGTTCCGTACCGTTGTCACGCTTCATACCTGGCGCTTTCACGAAGACTGGCTTTTGTCATTGTCAGTGGTGGTGAGCAATCTGTTGGAACTGGTACTCAAGACGGGGTATCGGGCGTGTGGGGACACCTTGTCAACATGCATTGTGAAATTTAAAACAGTTAGTCCCCTTCAGTAGTTTGAACAACGAAATGAGAAGACGAATACTGGCAGATGCTAGCATTTCGTATTATCTCGTCAGTACCATTACAATAACAGGGAAATTCTTTTATGTCTTACAGGGCACAGGCAAACCAATCAAATTTATTGTTGTGATCATTGTTATCAGATTACGTCCACGGCAACCGCAGGTTGACAACTAATTGCTTTTGGACACACAAAGCTGGTCTAATTCGGCTTATCGCGACGGCCTCGGCAAATCGTAAAAGGCGTGCATTAGTATGACGTAACAAGATCCGGAAAGCTGATAAGGGATTGACCTGGTGACGAGTCGCCAATCTGTGCCTGCCTATGGAGGACGCTGGCGGCTTACGCGAACACGTATCATCGGAGGTGGATTGGGTAACTTCACGCTGAACCCAGTTTGGTAGGTGTTCCTTCACTCGGGAATGACGGCTTACAAGCCGTCATTTAAAAGCACTACGAGAGCTGAGAAATAAGGGAGTGGTTGTACTAAAACCGGACAAAGGTTCAGGAGCAGTTGTCGTGAACAAGAATGATTACGTACAAAAAATGCTAAGCGTTTTAAGTGATGAAAGCAAGTTTCAACACACCAACAAGATAGAATGTCTGACAGAAGTAGAGGCCCGTATAACCCGACACCTTGAAACGCTTCTCCTACATCGTGTAATTAATGAAACCACCTACAAGCACCTGAAGCCGAGCGGTACCTCGACACCACAGCTATACGGGTTACCAAAAACTCACAAGCAGGGCATGCCACTAAGACCCATTTTGTCCATGGTAAATTCCCCGCAGCACAAATTGGCTCGTTGGTTAGTTCGGATCCTTGCACCACTAAGGCAGCACTACAATTTGCGCAGCATTAAGGACTCTTTTGAAATAATTGAAGACCTAGACCAAATCAGCCTAGCCGACAAGGTTATGTGTTCAGTGGACGTTCAATCGTTATTTACTAATGTCCCCTTGCTTGAGACAGTTGATTACATTTGCCGCCTGATAGAAGAGGAGAATTTTTGTCTGCCAATACCGACAGACCTCCTGAGACAGTCCCTGTTACTTTGCACGGAGAATATCGCTTTCCGATTCGACCACAACACGTATCGCCAAATTGACGGAGTAGCTATGGGTAGTCCGTTGGGACCCGTACTGGCTGATTTTTTCATGCTGATGCTTGAGAGGAAACTAAGTGGACAGATTTCTCAGCTGCCGTATTACAAACGATACGTGGGTGATATCCTTGTTTTCGGTTCCACAAAGATGCAAATCGAACAACTAGTAGATCAACTTAATAATGTTCACGACAACCTGAATGTGACTTTTGAATTCGAATCGAATGGGCGCCTTCCGTACCTTGACATTCTCATGAGTCGCAGGGATAATGGGCTGATTAAGCGATCTGTATACCGGAAGCCAACGTGGTCCGGCCAATATCTACACTTCACTAGCTTCTCACCGATGGCACACAAGCGCGCGCTAGTAAAAACATTATTCACTCGGGCCAGACGTATCTGCTCCAACGACTGCCTGGCTGAAGAGTTAGAGCTGATCACTAAGACACTTATAGAGAATGGCTACCCAAAGCGATTCATAGACAAACATAGCCAAGTTAGACCGCCCAAGGAGATGGTGTTGACAGCCCCTAAGAAGAAGGTGTACATTGAGCTCCCATTCAAGGGTGACAATGCAACGAAAAGAATAACCAAACGGATTGTCTCGGCCATTCAGCGTACATACTGTGCTGCGGAGGCGGTAATTATCAACAGAACCCGAAAGTTGCCGTTACCTTCAGTAAAGGAAGATGAACCCGTCGGCGCCAAATCCCATTGTGTCTACCAATTCGTGTGTGACCTCGGTATCAGTTACATCGGCAGGACCGAACGGGTTTTAGATTCCCAAGTGAAGGAACACCTACCAAACTGGGTTCAGCGTGAAGTTACCCAATCCACCTCCGATGATACGTGTTCGCGTAAGCCGCCAGCGTCCTCCATAAGCAGGCACATATTGGCGACTCGTCACCAGGTCAATCCCTTATCAGCTTTCCGGATCTTGTTACGTCATACTAATGCACGCCTTTTACGATTTGCCGAGGCCGTCGCGATAAGCCGAATTAGACCAGCTTTGTGTGTCCAAAAGCAATTAGTTGTCAACCTGCGGTTGCCGTGGACGTAATCTGATAACAATGATCACAACAATAAATTTGATTGGTTTGCCTGTGCCCTGTAAGACATAAAAGAATTTCCCTGTTATTGTAATGGTACTGACGAGATAATACGAAATGCTAGCATCTGCCAGTATTCGTCTTCTCATTTCGTTGTTCAAACATGCATTGTGTCCAGCTTAGCCCGATGCATCTGGCAGTAATGAATATCAGATATACCACGTGGTCAGCTATTCGAGGACAGCCCACCTGAAATGACAATACATCTCATGTGTGACGTATCCTCAGGTGAATACGGATGGTCGCACGGCATGGCTCACTGAGATTTTGTGGTGACGAGATCTTGACAGGTCCTTGACCCGCTGCTGCTAATTTTGTGCCGTGGACTCATGTCCTGGATGCCTCGTGGTGACTGCTGAGCGGGATTTGGGTCACACGCTTCTTCTAGCTAAGAGCTAGGACACACAATTCCGTGTGAGTCCGTTCAATGACTCATGGCTCACCGCCGCTGCCTTTCGTGAGTATAGTTTATGGAAGCCTTTGCCTGATGACCCGAGTCGTTCTCCTATTCAGATGTGGACGCTTTGGCAGTACACCAGTTTAAACCCAAACCATAAATCACATCAATACTAATAATGTCACTGCATCGGTCTTCGCGCATGGCGTGGAACAAAAAAGGGTAGCCTTATCTACTGTATACAAAGGGGTGGATAAGTGAAAACATGCTACAGCTGACGCCTGCGTTCTTTATTGTTCCCCGCGCATACCCTCCCAGTAACCGTTTCAACTAACCCACTACTTATTCCAATTCACACGAGCGGTTTTCCGCCATCACAATCGTCTGCTTCCGCACAAAATACTCAACATCCTTATAACCCACTCCACAATGAGTTATGGAAAACTCTCTCATCTACTCGTTCAAAATTTAAGGTTTTACATTCTCGCACCGTTTCTTATCCTAACTCTGTTTTGCCTTATTTATCATGTCTTCTAGTGAACTCTAAGATAATCATTGATGCTGCGCTCGAACGTTTGCTTGAGTGAATGTATGTGTATATATTTTCCCCCCATTTGCCTGTCCTTTTTATACCCAACTTTTTTGTCCGTAGTCCTAGTGTAAAAATGTGCTGAAAATGTGTTCAGTCGGGTACATAAAGCTTACTTTGACTTGACTTGAAACATCGGGTGTGCAACGTGTACACACTGCTCGACCGTAACGCTTGAGCGTCCCAAGCGACACAATGCGCTATACGCGGTGGAACTCGCGCGCTAATTGTGACTCGCCTTGCTGACGAAGGCAAACTACAGGATGTTGGTGCTGCATGCGCCATCTACTGGGTGGAAACATCACCACTGCACCACGTAAACATGTGGTCGGGTTTGTACTATGCTAATGGCTCGCTATGCTAAATGGCTCGCTAGTGGCAAGGCCGACTGCTATCAGCCCACAATTGATAAGCACACCTCTACGACTTGGAAAAGGTATTTTTGCCACTTATTGGCACGTG